TTAGCACTCCAAAGTCTCAAAAAAACTTGGCCTTGATCACGAACACGACAGCTATTTTCGGTGCACATTCAAAGCTATCACGATATGCTGGCGCTGACATCTTTCTTACGGGAATCAGTTTCCTCACATGTATATAGCACTTTCAGCATGGGCATCATATCGCAGTAATCTCTCAACTAGTCACCACTTCTCCGATCAGACTTATTATGAACTTGTATCTGGGATCAAGCGGAGGTCCTAATCGCAAACATGACATCCATTTCTCGGAAATTTCATTCAGTTTTGATTATCACTGTTTGGAGTTTTTCCTTGCATCGCAATATGACCTTATTTTGTAGTCTTGCGTGGATTTGGCAAAAGCATCAGTGGTAACCTACTCTTACATATGGCATCATCTTCGGAAGCTGATGTAGTATTTATGTGCAGGTATCTTGATTACCCTAGCAGCAAGTTTTGCTGGGGCTAGAAGCGAGTGCTGTATTCGGGAAGCCATGTATGCCCATCATTACATAGGTTGACAAGCCTATTTATTTCTTTGCTTGTGTGTTTCTATTCGCATTTGTTTGTCTCTTCGGAGATTCTGCCGTACCTGAAGAGCAAACCGATAATGAACAGCGAAATAGGCTGCGATGGGTAGCGCAAGGAGCAGGATGTGCAGAGCTTACATGGACTATGCTAAACGTGCAGGCGGCGCAAGCTCTGTTTGGTGTACAGGGCTCGACCGGTCTAACTTACAGACCATTTAGAGAACTTCCGCAGCAATCATGGAGAACATCGATTTTACAAAAGTTACGTGGTACTGTACGCGACCAAGCCGTCCGTGCTCGGTGAAGACAGGACTGAAGCGCCGGAGTCAGCCGGTGATCGGACTGATTCCGGAACACAGAGCGCACTTTGGCACAGGAGGAACGCATTCATGTAGACGCGATGGTACGGTCATGGCCAGCAAATGATGTGTTGTGCCCGGAGGCAATACCAATGTGTGTAAATGTTACTCGAAGTGACTCATTGCAACGGGTGCTTTCTCTGTTTCAAAGAAATCCATGCTATCGGCTAAGAAAACGCATTGAATTTTTCATCTTAATATTGATCCTAGTCTTGACCAGCCTCGACTATGGAGAATTCGCGAAGCCACAAAAAGTTTCTTTCTTGGACGGTCTACTCTCTCTTGTATCTTGACTCTCTTGTATCACCTGTGCTCTCATTGATCATCAAGTTGCTTGTGTAGACGCCAGCAACGTCTCCATCCGTCCCAGTCCTTCAGTGAAACTTCTGCGCTTGAGGACATGATAGACACCCAATGATTCGGTCATGATAAACACCCAATGATTCGACATGATAAACACCCAATGATTCAGTGACACCCACTCAAGAAAAAGTCTGACCAGAGGGTTGGTTGTCATGTCGTCCAGATGTTTGCTTGACATCCGATGGAATCTAGGCAGAGACAAGGAACAGCACTCTTGGGAGGATCCCGTCACAGGATCGCACCCGGTCCATGGGGAAAGGGGTCACATTTGGCTCATGAGAGTTGGATCTACTTTCCTATTTCCAGGCTGCTCGCGCCGCAGAACTGCCATACAAGCACTATTCCATGATGAGATGATTGAGCACAAGTTGGCTTTAGTGCACTGTCGAGTGCATAACACGAGGAACACTATAGAACTTACTAGCAAGAGGATGTCTTCATTTTGAACCTTCCCCCATCCCTAGTATGGAACGGATGCTATCTACCTCTCCTGTAGAATCCTCTTTCTCAGAAACGGAGTAGGGAGTTCAGGAAAAGTAGGTAGCAGCCAATTCAAAAGTGGAATGGAATTGAAGGCGCAGAGTAAAGACTTCTTGTCAAGCGCTTGTGCTCCCCACTTGATGTAGTGGCAGTGTGCGCCAGCCAACTTGCTTTCATTTATATAATGCCCCGTATCAACCTTAACGGTGGCAACCGTTTCTGTTAACCAGAAGTAATCTCGTTGATCCACAAAACTCTATCGTTGATTCCTCTTGTTTCGTGCACACGACACCATAGTCGAGAAGGGGAGAACGGGTATTCACGCATACCCGTCCCCCCCGTGCTCGAGTTTAGTTACACGGTGCGAATAATTTTGGTAGTTGGCCTACTCTGAATCCCGCAGTACAGTTGTGAAGAAATGAACCAGAGATAATCCTCTCATCTAATATTGTCAATTATATCATTACTGCTACCCATCACCAGTTATCACCAGCCATCATGATTTGGACGTGTGAAGTCAGCCCCTCGAAGACACCTCAAAGGAGAACGATTACGGCAACACTGCCTCTCCGCTATTCTATCGATCCCGCACTGATATTTACTCACACCCGTGCATCAGGTGTTAGAGTGCCTGAGGTAGCTCAAGACAGGAAGGACTGAATAACCTGATAACCGTCTCCATTGCTCTGGGGATGCACTGATTGTTCCGCACACACGTCGAAGACGTGTCATACTGCTCTAACTTTTGGCTATGCGAAGCGGCCTCTTTCTTGCCTCTGTTGCTTGAACCGCTACAACTGTTCTTGTCTCTCTGGATCCTTCCTTTATCGTTACTCTGTACAGCATCGTTGCTCCGGACAGAAGTCACGTGGTTCCTGACGCCTCGTAGTGATCTTGAAACTTTCTGATTTACTCGAGGGCCATGGCATATGGAAATGGTCGAAGTAAGCTGAGGCTGGAAGACGGTGCAAATGATAAAAAACTGACAAGGGAACCCCAACAGGTCGATCCGGCCGTTCGTAATGAGATGTATATGTATGGACGTGTCTTGAGCCGCTGAATCCAAATCTGTTCTCCAAATTTGCGGAACGATTCTCTGAAGGGAGTTACGGACCCTTTAATCTTGGCTCAGTTTGCACAACTTGAGAAGGATAACTGCATGCGGCAAGCGGCCGATGGCCTAGTGGATATGCGCACTGCTTCAGAAACACGAGGTCGCATGTTGGAATCCTTGACTCTGAAAATTTTTGCTTTTGTTTAAAACACTTGATATGAGCCACCAAAAAACTTCTGTTCAGCCGTTTCGCCTAGTTTTTCGATTATTTGCCAACGGAAGGCGGGCGATTCTCTTTTTGTGACTTCTTTTGAAAACTTTTATCAAGGCTAACCGTTTCCAGAGATTGCATCAATGAATGAGGATCTTAAGGTTTAGGAGCACATATGGTATTCTTCCACGAAATGAAGAAACAATACAACTTCTCACAATGAGCACAGCGAATGAAAAAGTACTCTGCACACACGGTACAGTTACAATTCTCCACCACTCCAGAGGGGAAGCAGTACTGAAGAGGTGTTTCGAACTCACCAGGATGTGCAACTCACCAGGATGTGATGTTTCACAGGAACCGAAGTCCCTCAACAGATACGCCAGTACCAGCTTTGGGCAAAACATGTCGATAGAACAAGAAATCAACCGCGATTGCTTTATGCGGAATGCCACGTGTCGATAGATCACAATCATGAGGGCTGACCATATCTATCCGGCGCAGATCACGAAGACAGAATACTGTTGGAAACAAAAACAAAATTTAAGTACACACTGGAGTGGTGGAGAATTGTAACTGTACCGTGTGTGCAGAGTACTTTTTCATTCGCTGTGCTCATTGTGAGAAGTTGTATTGTTTCTTGTGGAAGAATACCATATGTGCTCCTAAACCTTAAGATCCTCATTCATTGATGCAATCTCTGGAAACGGTTAGCCTTATGATAAAAGTTTTCAAAAGAAGTCACAAAAAGAGAATCGCCCGCCTTCCGTTGGCAAATAATCGAAAAACTAGGCGAAACGGCTGAACAGAAGTTTTTTGGTGGCTCATATCAAGTGTTTTAAACAAAAGCAAAAAATTTTCAGAGTCAAGGATTCCAACATGCGACCTCGTGTTTCTGAAGCAGTGCGCATATCCACTAGGCCATCGGCCGCTTGCCGCATGCAGTTATCCTTCTCAAGTTGTGCAAACTGAGCCAAGATTAAATGGTCCGTAACTCCCTTCAGAGAATCGTTCCGCAAATTTGGAGGAACAGATTTGGATTCAGCGGCTCAAGACACGTCCATACATATACATCTCATTACGAATGGCCGGATCGACCTGTTGGGGTTCCCTTGTGAGAAGCGCCACGTCATTTAAAGGCAATTCCCGCGACCACACTTCATAGGTAATACAGTTCAAAAATAGAATTGCCCTGTGATTGTTGACTTATTGAAGAGAAGGAACCACGAAAAAGCGCCCGCAATAAGACCCTCTTTATTCAATTGATCATGATCACCGGACGAGCGTAAGGTGGTCAAGATCAATTGTGGATTGGCAAAAGGCGGCGAGACACTGATAAGAGACGAGAGAGGCCAGAAAATGACGGGCGAGAGAGCGCAATGGCAAGTCACAACGACACGGTCACCGGAGGCCGGCATGGGCCTATCGGGCGCCAATGGGCCTAAAACATGAGCGTCGTGCGTTCTGCTTGCTGTTTTTCAACTTTTAAAAGCAGCATATCCTCTACTGTTGCCTGCTTGATCATCATGCACGTTTATGAGGTTCTAGCCTTAGGGAGACGGTAAAGAGGATCGTAATTCGCCGCACCGCCACGCGCGGCGATGGGCGCGGCGTTTTCATAACTCGTTTTAACCTGTCGAATGAAGCACCGGACTTCATGTAGACCCCGTCATCGTAGACACTCATTACTGTTTTCGGTCCTTAATTGCATGTTGTCGCCATCTACTGCCTGAAACCATCGTCCTTTGCGGGCGGGACGTCGCACGCGACGCCCAGCAGCGCGGCAAATTACGATCCTCTTGTCACATACCCCTAGCCTTAGTTTATCGCGGAACATGCCTTTAACGAACGAATGATATGCCATTTAGTAGCTTACTCGTAACATGTGAATGCCAGAAGTGAATGCCAAATTACTTCTCGAACTACTGGGTACCCCGTGAATATAAGAGTTTCAGATTTTCTTGAGATTTCCTGGCAGTTAATAGTTAAATAGTTATTCGCTAATCTCATAAACAGAAAGCACTCATTATGAGGAAAGTCCGTTCCGAAAAGCTTACCTTTTTTATGGCAACTGTTTTTGGAGGTTTGTTAGGTTCATCAACCATCAAACCCTGCCATACTTCTCCAAATGTTCCAGCCCCAATTTTTGAGCTCAGAGTGATTTTGTCGCTGGTCAGCTCCCAAGGTTGTTTCGAAATTGGTTGTTGTAGTTGTGCACCTTCGTTCACTGGTGTTTTAGACGAGTAGTGGAATCTGAATAGTGGGCATGTGTAACTTGTTCTTCGTATAGTTGTATAAGAAAACAAGAAGACTTCGAAATCATATCAGACTCATAAGCTTCCAAAAACGCTCACTTGACTAGACTCATGATATCACTTTTCTTATTTCGCCCGTCTATAGTGAATGTTTGGTCCTTTCCAAGCTTCGAGTAGTGGACCGGATTATCACGAACTTTGTCCTCCCATTTTACGGTCACACATGCCTAATTGAGAAGGTACTATAATTGATTACTTCCTCACTAAAATGCCTAATATTTACGTTGGAACACCGTACCGTTGCCATTCTTTCTCCGTCCGGCTCGAGTCCGCGTATTAAAAAATCTCCGTTTTTCTGCAACAAGCCGACTATATCTTCCAGGGGGAGACACCCGTGATACCACTCTTCCTTTTCCATATCCTAAAATGACTTTCCGGTGCTAGGAGCAGTCTAGTGACAACTTCCAGCTCATTTGGTAACACTTACGGCCAGCATTCGTTCTAGTTTCTCATCCACAAGACCTTTTTTACGCACCTTCGATGATTTCAGCTGCAAATACAAAAGGCTTACCTACTGCGCCATATCGTAGTCCAATATAACGATTCAAGATTACGACAATGAAAGTATAAGTTCCTGAAGAACTCTCCGACTAGCTTGGCTGAATCGCGGACTGAGAGAATAACTGAATTATGAACCATCCACTTTTCTCTTTCGAGCTTTCACTACGTCATCCCATCCTCATTCTTAGCTCTTATTCTCCGACTTCCTGCATTTCACTCATCTGTGTCCAGGGAAGGGGTGGCGGTGGGATCACATGTGGTTTGGGTGACAAAAAAGTTTTGATATACTACTTTGACTGGTGCGCAGTACTGCGTGCGTCACGTGATGACAAATGGAGTCGGTCACTAACAGTTGTGGCAGTTGCAGGAGTGCCCGTCGCCGCTCTCTAGTCAACAACAGGTTTCCCTCATGGTAGAAGCATGCAGAAAACCCGGGAGGTATGTCCTCGTGCTGAGCCAGCCACCCATCACTGGAAACAGTCGCTTCCTTAACAAACAGCTGATGAGCTCCAACCATTTATATCACCATTCCCCAGAAGTATTCCCTCATCCTCGCTCCAGTTTAGGCTAGTGGTACAGCACATTTCGACAACTGAATAGTGCTCACACTGAAAAGGGAATAAAACGAGTTCACATGGTAATTCTCGTGCAAAATGGTTAAATTCTGCCAGCTCATTTTGGTAGTTATCACTACACGGTTTCTCGGCAGGATTTTGCCGAATTAAACGATCGCCTGAGTTTTTTGACTTTTCATCAACCTTTTCACCGATATTGGAGTAGCAGTGAAAACGTTTGCGCCTTTTTCGTGAGATATTTCTATTCTGTGATATTTTGAGATAGCTGTCATATTGTCCTGTGCTAGACAAAGATATACTCTCGAAACATCGAGATGTGGTAGGCGCTGCGTACTTCAACTAAACGTGGCGTTGGCTGTGCTTTTGGTGAGATATTTCCATTTTGACACAACGCTGATCGTGCCTCTCTCCAACAATGATCAAGATGAGTTGTTTTGAATCGTGATATCCCTCGAGCCACCCTTTCTAGCCCTTTCAAATGCAGCGCCCACACATGGATTTTCTTGTTCGTGGCGTCCACTGCATCTTCTCCGAGCCAGTCATTTTAGGTTCATCTGACGTTCTTCTAATGGCCTCCTTCATCTTTTCTTTGTCGCTCCTCGTGGTCGCTTAGCCTTTACTTACCGACCTTCCGCACTGGGTGACCTTTGGGCCTCCTCAGTACGTGCCCATGTACGTGCCCGCAATCAACTCTCTTGCCTTCAACTGCGGCCGTCTGTGTGACTGCCCTGACGTCCTCGTTTCTGACTCTGTCGAGTCGTGTCCAGCCGCAGGCCCATCTCAGCATCCTCATTTCAGCTGAGTGGAGCTGCCTTTCATGGTTCTTGCATATGGGCCAGCATTTGCTGCCATAGAGCATCGCAGGTCTAACTACTGTACGTTACACCTTGCCCTTCAATGTGAATGAATACCCATTGTCTCTTCCAAGACCTGCCTTGCACATTGTATGACCTCACTGCGTTGGTCCACGTCTCCTGGACTGGCCCGTGTGGGTTTGGAAGACCAGTCTCCAGTACTCTTCTATTAAGGCTATCCTTTTCCATGTTTGTGTGCAGTTTCGACCACCGAATTCCCCGATCGGCACTTACCATCCTTTCTTAGAGAGGTCTGTGGCGATTCCCTCCAGAAGAGGCCTGTGCTAAAGGCCCAAGTCTTCCCCAGGCAGTACCTTGGTATCCTATCTTCCACGGTTCTAAGGGGCTGTGTTCTCACTAGTACATGGTCAGTTCTGTTTGTCTCCCTCCACTGATGTAGGTTTACTTCTGGGTCGTTCTTCTTGCGAAGAAGGTACAACAGATTGCTTAGTCGTGAGTTATGCTAGTTCAAGGATTTGAATTCCGCCAGCAGTCCTTGCTCTTCTCCTCGGCCCCCACGCACCCTTTCTAGACCCCTTCTGTCATTTCCCACATGGCCATTCAGATCCCCAGCTATGGTGAGGTAGTCATCTTCCGGAACCGATCTTATGGCCTCGTCCAGGAGCCAGGGAGAACTCATCCTTTTTTCAAAAAGTAGTATTCACAGTGTAGTGCGTATACGGTCAGTACTGTGCAGTATTCTCCTTCGTGTCTATTCTCACTCCATTCTACCACTGATCCTATTTGCAGAGGGGACGCAGCTTGAGGGAATCTGCCGTGGTCACACCATTCCGTTAGACGTTTCCCACTGTAGAAGAGTTCGGTTGTTTCCCCAACCCCCAATCTCGTGGGCCTTCTCTCCTTCACAGCGTTTCTGTGGGCATAGAATTTTGATATTCCTGCATCTCATGAACCTCTCGAGACTTCCTTGACATCGATCCCACGTTCAGGGTCCCAATTCGAACTAGCTTCTTTGGCCGAGGTCGTTCACCCCTCGGTAGCCCTCGCATACTGACCACAGAACTCGGGCGAGGGTTCTGCGCGCCACTTCCGGGTGACGTCCTAGCATTAACACTGATACTTTTGCGACTTGTCATGATTGTTGTGCGGGTTTCTCCAACAGTAGGCCGGCCACTGGGCCTGACGCTGGTATCGGTACCCAATTTTCAATTTTCGCAATGCATAGTGTGTGGAGCCTTGGCAGGGATCGACCCGTGGCTCAGAGTGCAGACATAGGTCCTCACTCTTAACCACTCGGTATCTCTGCTTCGCGCCTACTAATAGTTAAGAAGTGTGATTACGATTGTCCCAGAGCTCCGATATGAAGGGTTGTCGCCACGTGCATGATCTATCCAGTCACCTCTTGTGCATCTCCAGAATATAAATAGCAATCAATGTAGCAAATGTTGTATCAGAACGTAGTGATGTGTTAAGGTTGTTGGAACTGAACTGATCGACCGCCATGTTATTTACATCGCCAAGGAATGGTGAACGTTCTTAGATAGCAGTTTGAGTTGGCTAGCTGACTATTAATGAGGAAACGTTTGAATAGGTGGGTCGTAGACCGCACGGGTCAGAGTGCACGCGACATTGTGCAGCAGCCACACAAGCAAGTGTTCTTTTCGCTGCTCAATCATTCATTTTTGTTTCACACAAGTGTGCAAACTTTCACTATAGTCTATCACTGAGACTCACAAGAATTTGAAATTATTTGAATCCGAACATATCAGTTTTCGCTTCACGTTACGCTCTTGGTGAACTCACCTCGCTCTCCATACTTGCGCAAGAATAGAAGATGAGTGGTCCATCCTTCTCACTTCTCTTCTGAAGCCCTAGCCTACACCTAGACTTAGACCCAGCCCTCTTGTAAACAACAGTAGCTACCGTTGCTGAGAATCCGCAAGGTTCCAAGTGTAACAAGGAATGTCGACCATTAATGCAAAGAAATCCTTATATAGTAATGACATACAAACGAACCACAAAGTCCGGTGGCAACCTCAGCTCATCAACGCTGTCTTCGTGATCGTCATCCTGTAATAACAAAGAACAATGAATAGATGGACAGAGCCCACGTTTGTACAGCACAAACCTTGGCATCATCTGCAACATGGGAGGGATGCGGGCACTCTGCACTTTTCATTGTTGTTGTCGACCTCACTCTGCCCGACACCGCAACGTCAACTGAGTTGAACACACCATGCCATGCAACGTGATATCACCATTCTATCCATACGTAAAGACTTCCTATCACACAACTGGTTAACGTGCATCGGATAATCATCGTGTCGATCTCGCTAATGACTAATGAATAGTATCACTCAGGGAGTCGGAAGGTACAGCGATTTTGAATTTTAAAGTTGTATGCCCAAGTAGGGCCAAATTACTAACGTGGATTGCACATTTTGCCATTATTTTCCCAGAGACCAGAGGTTTTGGGTTCTTGATCGATACACATGATGTGTCGAGCTATGTTCGGTAATCATTCTGAAGCCTCTCCGCAAAAAAGTATTATCAGGCGGCAACTCTCGCTGAGCATGTGCATTCGGTTCCCTGCAGGAAACGAGAGAAAAAGCATTCGTAGTACCACAGCAAGGCAAAAACAGGAGCGAAACGGTTCGAAACGCCCGAATATTGCCCTTATCAAACACTTTAATCAAAGTGTACGAGTCTACGTCTGAAATAAGTCATTGGTGGTCACAGACCGATGTGAAAAAAAAACCACGGAGATTGGGTATAGAATATGAAAACGTATCATTCCACGCACTACCAGGTTTCACGACAGTATCAACAGGGATCTCTTACAGAAGCATGGTCATACTAATGACATTATCACAGAGCGGCTGCAGCGGGATTCAAGGAGAAAATTCAAAACAAATTCAAAAAAAACGTCCAAAACTCTGAAGCGGGCCTTGCAAGACACATGTTTTGCTGAAGAAAGATATGTTCGCTACCTATGAGTACTGACCTCTTCAGAACGGATCCTCAGGAAGGGAAAAAAGCGTCAGTCTGCAACAGCTGATCTGATAGTGATCAATTGCTGATCACTGGGGCCATTTGTGGGTGTATCGCTCTTTAAGGGAGTACGGATTGGTATGCTAAACCTTGTTAGTATGCTAAGAGATCGCTTTTCTATGAGAAAATAGCATTTAGATCTTTCCCAGGAGCGCGGAAATCGCCGTTTTCATCCAACATGTATAGAAAATTTATCGTAGCCTTTGCCTCAAAGCCACAACATGCCATATCAACACGTACCTTTAAACAACGACACACCCACAGATGGTCGCGCCGACCAGCAACTGATCGCCAGCGGATCAGCTGTTTCCACGCACAGCAGGCAGCTGCATGGAGCTTCTTTCCCTTCTTCAGAGTTCCTTCTGAAGATGTCGTTCTTATTGGCAACGAAAATAAATCCTTTTCTTAGAGAGTGTAAGATTTTCTCGCAAGTGGTGCCTGTTTCGGAGTTGTTTCGTGGAAGTTTGTTACTGCTGGAATTAATGTGTTTTCAT